TAATCTAAACAAGGCGTAAAGTGTGTGTATATATATACGCGCTAGCAACGATCTCTTTTGCTGTACATTACATGTGATGTGACTGCACGCTGGCTAGAAGGATCATGATCATTACTGCCGTTTGCGCATTTCTAAGGGGGTACGGTCTTTTCGGAACGCATGAATTTTCAAGAAATAACGCAGGAGTTTGACAGGAATCATTCAGCTCAATTTCATTTTAAAAGCACAGGAATAGAAAAATTTTCCCGTGTTCCAAACAGGAATAGGGAAAATTTTCCTTGTTCCAAACAAAACAAAAGGAAAATTTGTACACCGACGACGGTGGTTTGGACGATGGCTTGGCAATGTTGGCAACCACTTGCCAAGTTGGTCGAGCAGAGGATTCGTATTCTAGTGCGTACAAACCCCACGTTGCCCATGCTTATACGCAGGGGAAAAAAAACTTTAGCAATAACAAATCTACGTAGTATGTTCCAAATTAAATCCGAAGATTAGGCTGGAAAATGTGAGCAAAGAGGCCTGACCATCCAGCTCTGGAAAGCATGCTCGTCTTGGCTCGTGTTTGCTACTATTGTACCATATATATTGGTGGAGAGGTCTTACCAGCAGGCAGCAGCATTGGTAACAATGGCCAAACAAGTAACCTTTTGGATGTCCATATATAATAATTTAGGAAAGTTTGGGTGACCAAATCCGGCATTCAAAAATCAAACTAGCTCAACAAAGTACTCTCATGTCCTTTTCTTTACCAGAGGATATCTCCTGCATTTGGCAATTATCATTTCCATGGACCTCTGATTGGGCGATTAGCTTACGCATTAGGAGGCATTGTCCCATTTTTTTTATAATGTTGTTTTCTTAAAAAAAAATCTCATAAAATTATTTATTTTGAGACGAAGAGATTATCTTCTAAATGCTCTCTCCATTTTTTAGGGGCTCTTGCATTTTAACCCTATTTTGTATCAAAATTATGATTTTACCCCTGCGTTTTTACTTTGTTAATTTACTCATGTGATTTCAAAACGAAGCACCAATTTTGTCCCTACACCTGGGCATCTGACGGACATCCAAAGCAATGGTAGACGGACCATTCATTTCAAATTAAGAATGGTAAAAAAACAAAGTTGGAAAAATATGAGCAAAATCACAATTGAAGTACTGGACAAGGGCAAGAACACAATTTTCCTTTCATTTTATTAGGCATATTATAGGATTTCAAAATATCATTTTTTCTAGATTTTGACTAAAAAAATACTCAAATCATATGCATGTTTAGTGTATAGAAATATGTGGACATTTTAGTATTTCAAAGACCTTTTAATATGACATTGATTTGTAGTAATTAATAATGTTACATTGTAAGAAATTTTGATGGAAAAGTACACTCTAGTGACCTTTTAGAATCCTTATATCCATAATAAAAAAAGAGAAAATTGTGTTCTTGAACGGAGGTAGTACTCCACTACGTGCACCCCTCAAGCTAGCATATTGGCCGGAGATGGAACTCTACGGCGATTGTTAACACTTACCACCGAATTCTCAGTGTTCTACTACCATCTATAGATGTTGTGTCCATTGCCACCACTTGCTACAAAATGAAAGATCAAATATGTCTCATGTATCACCATTCATATTGGAAAATGCCACAACAATGGTTAAGAAAACTATAGTTGTCATATTGTTTTTGTTTTGGAAAAAGTATACCCCACTGCCATTAAAAAATGTAGATTATTTTAGTTTCATCATAAGTCAAAATGTTTCTCACTTTGATCAAATTTATAGAAATGTATATTAAACATCTACGGCGCCAAATAAATGCAGTATATATCAAGACATATTGGTGCATTTTTCCATAAATGTGATACAAGTAGAGAAGTTTGATTTGTGCTAAAACTAAAATTTATAACCTACTCCTACGTTTTAAAATGGAGGGTGTGTCACCAGCTAGAAATTGTGCTGTCATCTTGAATAGGAAGCGTTTCTGTTTTTACTCCCGTTGTAATTGTAATCGTCTGTTGTTTTTCCATGTGTGTTTATTGCAAAAGTGGAAAGTGTTTGCTTGCCAATTAAAAGTGGCTTTTATTTTGTGTTGAAAGTAGTTATTATCAAGTTTTTTTTGTGACTAGTTATTATCAAGTTGGAAACGTTAATTTGCATTCAAATGCACATTCCTTTTATTTATCTGGCTGGAAATGAATATCTATAAATGGAAAGTGACCCTTGCGAGAAGTGTGAAAGTGAAAAAATTGGGGGTCATTAGGACTTGCAAATTTACCTTTTTCCATAAAAATTTTTTGAAGTATTTTCCTATGGACAGTGACCCTTGCTAGGAGTGTGAACGTGAAAAGGTTGGAGGACCATTATGACTCTTGCTAATTTACCTTTTTCATCACTAAATTAGTTTTTAAGCATTTTCCTTCGGTTGTCTTGAGAAAGTTTTAAATTAAATTAAGTTTTAAATTAAATTTGAAACATATCTTCATTTCTTTCCTTTTCTGTGACCTACTGCGAGTTTGTGATTCTAATTTTGAGGTGAACTATAGCACTGCAAAAGTTGTATTCTTCTTCATTTGAGGCACAAACCAAAAGTTGGTTACACATACTATACAATGTTTGAAAAGGTGATTATTATTATTTTATATTTGTAAATCAGTGTGCTACATGAGAATCGCATCAGTCTCCAATTATTCGGTGACCCACACAAGAAGCAGAAAAAAAAATTAAGCCGAGGCACGAGGAGGACAGCCCAACGTTGGCGTACCCCACCTGCAGGTCTCTGTTGGCCCCACCTGCAGACATCATGTCTAGGCTCCAGTCTTGTACTGGCCCATGGCTCCACGATTATGAACTGATGAAGCACAGTTTTCACTTGCGGTTCCAGCGCCGAATGCCGAATGGCATGGAACGGAATGGAAACCGCAGCAGCAGCGAGGCTGTAGATACACCTGGTCCATGCACAACCGACGGGGGGAAGATGAGCTACAGATACCGACAGGTGGGACCCAGACGATGTTCCAATCCCTCCAAACTGGGGTGTCCAACTGGCCAATATAACTGACGTCCCCCCACGACGCCCTCCCTCCGTCCCACCCGCTTCGGCTTCTCCCTCGGCCTCGCTCGATCGCTGATCGCTCCCACGCCCTCGCCTCCCCTCCACAAACCACCACCATCCATCCAACACCGCAGCGCGGCGCATCGCGTGAGAGAGAGGGGGATCGGCAGGTCGGGCAAGATGAGGGAGATCCTGCACATACAGGGCGGCCAGTGCGGCAACCAGATCGGCGCCAAGTTCTGGGAGGTGATCTGCGGAGAGCACGGCGTCGACTCCACGGGCCGCTCCTCAGGGACCTCCCCGCAGCAGCTCGAGCGGATCAACGTCTACTACAACGAGGCCGGCGGCGGCCGCTACGTGCCCCGCGCCGTGCTCATGGACCTGGAGCCCGGCACCATGGAGTCCATCCGCGCTGGCCCCTTCGGCGGCATCTTCCGCCCCGACAACTTCGTCTACGGCCAGTCCGGCGCCGGGAACAACTGGGCCAAGGGACACTACACCGAGGGCGCCGAACTCATCGACTCCGTCCTCGACGTCGTGCGCAAGGAGGCCGAGAACTGCGACTGCCTCCAGGGTATGCACTGATACTGACCTACCTACGCATCAATCCCACGCCAGGCCGGCTAGGTGTTCCTTACGTCGATCTCGTGTTTCCTCCGTGGATCGGTCGTGCTCTGTTTCGTGCGTCAACTCTGCTCCTCGTGGCATTGCCTGCTTCTGAAATCTGTCTCATAAATCAGATCAGGCATTTGAGCGTGGTACTACTGAAAACACAAATGCAGCGAACACCGATTTTGGTCCAAATCTGGCACACTAGTGTTATTATTTGTCACGTAAATTGTAAATCTGCAATCATCCTGCATTTCTGCCTCTAACAGCCATCGAGGGATGCACGCGACTGCTGGGTGGATCAATGCTTGATCCATGTGTTTCGTGAGGACAGGAATAGCACGATATTAAAACACCCTACAGGAGAAATTAGTTGCATTATAATTAAACGGAACTAATATGCCAGTTTAGCAGCATGTACAGGCAGGCCTTGATAGGTAGCAGATCGTCCAGTACAGTTAGTGTTAATTTGGTGAATTTGAATTCTTCATTCAAGGAAATAGATTCAGGGTAACTATTTGAATATCGATTTATTCACTGCATCCAAAGAATACCTGATCTAGTAGCAGTATAAATTGAAAGACCAAGATCATTTTCGCTGCTAAAAAAGTATCGTTTTCCTTTTCTGATCATTCTTACCGCAGTAGTATTGTTCAATAGATACTCCCATTGTCCCGCAAGTTGCCCCCATTGTCCGATTCCCATTGAGATGTTTCAGCACTTATCTGCATTCATCTTGGATGCTTATGTTCAGTTGAATGAAATTGCTGAAACTTTGTGATAAGGAAGCCAGATATGTCTAATTGTTTGCTAGACACACTCACAGACTTAATAATTGAAGATTTGAAGTAGGAACTTGATGCTCCACAACATTCATAATATTAGATGAGCTCTGTCATTCTTTGAGATCTTAATTGACCAGTTGACAGTTACATTTGTGTGTCGGTGTAGCTAATTTTCAACCAAAAGTAATCATGAGGTTATTACTTCATACAAACACTGCAGTTCTGAAAAGAAGGTAGATTAGACCTGTCTCACCTGTTGCCCAGTTTTTCTCTGCAATCTGTACTGCAACTTTGCTAGTGGCAACGGGGCCGTGTGTTTTCAACTAAAATATTTATCAGTGGGTACATAGAAACATGATCACGGCCAAGCAGAACCTATTGCCATGCATTTGTTGTCCTCCTACCAAGCTATGACTAGTGCAGCACAGATTTAGCTGACCAAGTGCCCCGTTTGTGAATGTTAGTTTCATTGCTAGTTGAACATGTGTAAATTTTACTGAACATAAAAAAAATCACTAATTGCTGCTTGTAAAATTTACACTTGTGTTTTCTAGACTAGAGATATGGGTTTCAGTACTTTCAGGTGCTAATGACCTGGTTTGTCGGTTAGAAACCAGTTTTCAGTACTGAAGCATGTTACATCACATGTCAACGTCTTCTTAGGCTGGTGAAAGTTCTTGAGATTATTGCAATAATACATTACTAATGGTATTATCATGCTCTGATTAATGACAATGCTGTACGACCTACCAAAATAAAAAAGCAAGTATCTAGATCTGCTGCTACTGTAACAGAGTCGGTGGTGGTTGCAACGAATGAGACACCGAGACAGGCTGTACCTAGTGGGCTGGTGGTTGGGAGGATTACTCATGTGTTGCTTACTTGCTTAGTGTATATACTTGCATTATTGCATTTGGACTTATATGAGGTGAAATGGATTTTAGCGCATCTAATCAAAGCAGCATTAGAAAAAACATAAAGTCAGTTATACAATACATAACTTGACACTGTATATGTTTAAAAAAAAAGGCAGACCCAGTGCCGAAGGCTCCCACATGAATGGGGTCTGGGGAAGGGATAAGCCGAGACGAGCCTTTTCCCCGCAAAATCTGCGGAGAGGCTGCTTCGAACCCACGACCTGATAACTTGACACTGTATATGATTACTGAGATCAAATTTCCTGTGGTTCATGCCTTTTCGACGGGCTACATGACCGAACTAACTTTGCACAGGTCACGGCATCTCAAGAACTGAAACTGTCTGCCACTGACATTGCTCGCATATTTGACAGGGTTCCAAGTATGCCACTCCCTGGGTGGCGGCACTGGTTCTGGCATGGGCACGCTGCTCATCTCCAAGATCCGGGAGGAGTACCCGGACCGCATGATGCTCACCTTCTCCGTGTTCCCGTCGCCCAAGGTGTCCGACACCGTCGTGGAGCCCTACAACGCGACGCTGTCCGTGCACCAGCTCGTGGAGAACGCGGACGAGTGCATGGTCCTTGACAACGAGGCGCTCTATGATATTTGCTTCCGCACCCTCAAGCTCACCAACCCTTCATGTAAGCATTATCTCGTTCGCTTTCATGCATGCTGCCAAAATGCCAACCCGAGTACAATTGCCAACGGATGAATCCAAATGAATGTGCAGTTGGTGACCTGAACCATCTGATCTCGGCGACCATGAGCGGCGTGACGTGCTGCCTGCGGTTCCCGGGCCAGCTGAACTCGGACCTCCGCAAGCTGGCAGTGAACCTGATCCCGTTCCCGCGGCTGCACTTCTTCATGGTGGGGTTCGCGCCGCTGACGTCGCGCGGGTCGCAGCAGTACCGCGCGCTGACGGTGCCGGAGCTGACGCAGCAGATGTGGGACGCCAAGAACATGATGTGCGCGGCGGACCCGCGGCACGGGCGGTACCTGACGGCGTCCGCCATGTTCCGGGGCAAGATGAGCACCAAGGAGGTGGACGAGCAGATGATCAACGTGCAGAACAAGAACTCCTCCTACTTCGTGGAGTGGATCCCCAACAACGTCAAGTCCAGCGTGTGCGACATCCCGCCCGTTGGGCTGTCCATGGCCTCCACCTTCGTGGGCAACTCCACCTCCATCCAGGAGATGTTCCGCCGCGTGAGCGAGCAGTTCACGGCCATGTTCCGGCGCAAGGCCTTCTTGCATTGGTACACCAGCGAGGGCATGGACGAGATGGAGTTCACCGAGGCCGAGAGCAACATGAACGACCTCGTCGCCGAGTACCAGCAGTACCAGGACGCCACCGCCGAGGAGTATGACGAGGAAGAGCAAGACGGCGAGGAGGAGCACGCCTGATCGGACGCCAACTGATCGATGCAAAGGGTTTCAGTTTCTTCGCTCCTATGGTACACCAATCGAGACTATACATTCCTACAATCCTACTACCTTAAGTATGTATATTCATGTACTGCCGTATTTCCGTTACTGCTGCTAGCTTGTGTGTGTATCTACAGTCGTGTGTGTTAGTGTTTTGTGAACTTGTGATATATTGTCACCGTTGTCCAGGTTTTGTGCGTATGTTTTATTCATATATGATGGGATTGCTCTCTGTTCTTGGACGTATATGTTAGGAATATTCATTTCATTGGAAGGTTGTTTTGCGTTTCTTCATTTGCACTCATGTGAAGTACATGTCCTATTGTATTTGTCTCTACTACTATACTGTCATGCTTTGGACGCCAAAGTGCTCAATGCGCGTTAAGTTCATTTTTTAGATAGAGGAACAGAAGGTGCTAGCTGAGGCTCGTGTGTAGTTGTGTATGCTTTCCTAGCTCTTATTTTGACAAAGCTCTCGGTGAAGGACTGAAGAGATAATTAGAGGACTGAAAGACGAGAGCCTTAATTTTTTTCACCAAGTAGACAAGCAATATGCAGATAGTGTGTTTCAAAGATCAATCCAAGTTGCTCTTCTAGTTCTCGCCAATATCACATACACACAACATACCTTAAAATGATACTGGAAAATAAACTTGGCCAAGTCAATGAACACCCGACCAAGTCAGGAAACCAGCTTAACGCCTTAACCTACTTTCAAACATGACTGCCTATTTTTAGAAAAAAGGTAAACCTTAACAAGCGACCTCCAGAATCACAAATCTTGCTTACCACATGGTGAAGATATTTCCACAGGGCTTGCCAAGAACATTTGGGTTTACCAAGAATTTTGAAATTACTCTCTCAGATTGGGATTTTGTTAAAAAAAAACTTGAAAGCACGAATTCAAGGTGCTCATGGAAAATCTTCAGATCTAAGATTTATCTTTTATCCAATGGTGCCTCGTGAGGATTGAAAACTCTTTAGGTCTCTAATTAGTAACACTAAAATGTTTGGATTGGAATATCCACTTTATTGTAAGGTTGCTTTGTGTTTCCTATGTTGCACTCTCGTGTTAGTACATTTCTAAAAGGTGTCTTGATGTTTAGTTTTGGGTGCCCAAGTGCTGAATGTGCAGTGTCCATCTTCTTCGTAGTTCATACTGCTGCTTTTGTGTAGAAAGTAGTGTATGCTAGCGCTTCTCATCGGACTTATATGAGTGGTGAATCTCAGCCCTTGGACCTTGGCCTAAGATCTAAAGCCCAGAAAAATCAAGGGATTGAGGGCCCAGCAAAGAAAGATGCAGCCCAACCTTGGGCTTAGCCCGTCTCCAGGTCTGCCCCAGCTAGTCGTCGTTGTCATTTTTGCTGAGGCCATCTATCCCACTATGAACTGTTTCACTATCACAAGAACTGCATTCATTTTCCCAGTGACACGATGTAGTTTATCTGACCATGGCGTGCATGCCCATTCGTTAAAGCTTCCGCACTCAGCTAGTGCAGATGTGATGTCCAGGAGAGATCGGCAGAGCTGAAGGTGTCACCGAAAGAACTGGTCTGCCCTACACTGCACTTCCAATGGCCAAGACTTGCAGGGCCTTGCATTGCTGCCATTTTCTGAGTTGCAGTGTTGCTTCTTTAAAATGTCCCTGTGATGGCACAAGACTGGGTCTTAGTGCTCCATGCACTAGTGTTTTCCTTTGTTTTTGAGCAGGTCACTGGGTCTATTTATTTAGGCGCCAATGCAACTTCTTCAGTAAGAGGTCACCAAAACAACTCATGGTGTGTTTAGCCGTGAAGCTTTCATTTGCTGATTTCTTTTGTGTGGTGGCCTTATATATATCTTTGGACCGAACGGTGTCTTCTGGAACCAGATATAAAATTGTCACGTTGTGCAGACCTTTTCTTCCCTTCCCGGTGCTGAAACTGGAAGTGAAATCCTAGTTGCTGAGCAGGACCTGCAATTATCTGGTGCAATCCCTCTACACACTGTACCAATTACAAATGATTGCCGTTTCTAATCTGCTCTCAGGAGTCGAGATCAACGGTACAAAATCCTAATCTTCCCCATCCCATGGTTCATGAGTTGTTTGAAGTTTTTTTGCCAAACAGGGGTCTTTTCCAAACAACTTCACCTATGAAGCTAGCTCTATTTGGCACAGTTTCTCCAATGTTATGAGCTGTTTGAAGCTGTTTTGTGCCTAATTTAAAACAACTTTACTTGTGAAGTTCCTTAAAACATGCTCTCACAAGGCATTTGTGTAGGATAAAGCTAAAAATAGCAACTTTTTCTAGCTTCAACTCGCTCTGGTGGGCCCTACGTGGGATTCACATGTTTTAAAAAGCTCTACATATAGAACTATTTTGCCAAACAGTTACCAAAACAACTTTAGCTTCATCGGTAAAGTTGTTCGTGGAGTTGAAGAAAAAAAAATTGCTTCACTGGTGAAGTGGAGCTTTGCCAAACGAGACCAAATCTTACTCTCATATGGGAATATCCTTTAAATCTTGCTCTCACATGGGAATCAAGTTGGATGAAGCTAAAAATAATAGTTTTTCATAGCTTCACCTTTCAGTTGTGGCCCCAGCGTGTGTGAAGGTTGGATTTGCCCATGTGTGAAGGACGCTAGAGTGGAGTTGCTGGGTGAGATGGGCGGGCACAACCATAGGGGCGCAAGCGAGCACAACCATAGGGGCATAGGTGTAACAGAACCGACCAATTATACGAGATTAAGTAAGAAAATCTTCCGTCGAAGCAGATAATTTAGCAAACTTAAGCCCGTATAACCCGGTAGTCCGTGAAACCACGCAGGATTTCAAACCGATCGACATACAAACCAAGATCGTACAAGTTTAGCAAGTACCGTCACATGTTACATAAAGTTCGCAACCACAGTTCGGTACACCAGAGTTTAGAACATAAAGTTATTACAATTCAAGTTCAAACTGCAATAGCGGAAGCAAATAGTTTTAAAGCCATACACACACTTCTAGTTCAGATACAATGCCAGTAGGTAGTCATCTCCAACAAAAGCATCAGATGAGAGATACAGAGTGACCATTGCCTTTGGTTCTAGTTGTCACCCATCGCCGGGTACAGGCAGTTAATGCAATAGCCGCAGTACATTTGACCATCTGCAACAACAATGGGAACAACGCCCTGAGTACGAGAAGGTACTCAGCTAGACTTACCCGTCTTAAACAAAAATAAAGCGACACCAAGGATTATGCAAGGCTTTCTTTAGTGGGCTAGCTGACTTGTTTGCGAAAAGCATAAGCTATCATGAAGATATCATTTTAAATGCTTTGCATCATCTTTATTATAACCTATTCATCTAGGTAAGCACCTGTACTATAGCAATCACTTGATTAACCAATAACATCCAGTTACCGATTTAACTTTAGCATGTCCATACCATCCAGATAACCATCATTGTTCCATAATAATTACTACGATACCGTAGCTCGAGTCAAGTGCTTACTATTCAGGAGCGATGGCGATTCGAATCGATTCCTAACCAGCTGGTGATTTATTCCTCACACAAACCACACTCACCGATCAAGTGAGCTACAAATCACCAATGACACTTTTCAGATAGCCACGGGACAATCTGGAGCCGCAGTACCCAGGGACCGCCCGACTGCCAGGAATCAGGTCGCACCTGCCCTTGGGCTCACTCTTCGTGCCCCTGTCATACCCCCATCAGCACCAATACGCGTACTCGTGTAGATCCCGGCCCGAATAGTGCCACTAGCTTCGCGGTCGAAAGATACTTTATTCGGCCAGCTAAATGTGAGGCATGCGTTCAACATGACAAGAGGGACGAGCAATGATCGGTCCTTAATCGACACAGACGGAAACTACAGCACCCCAGAACCCTATCTGGTTGCCTCCAACTTTTCCGTCCGGTCACCAATTTTCCATCACATATGGTTAATTCCAGGATATCATTCTTTTCATAGCTAAATTCTTCCAGTAACCACCTATAATGTAGGTGACCGGATATCACCGATCGCTACCGGTCTAAGCAAGGCTAAGCAGTTATTCGATCCTGATCTAACAGGGTAAAGGTAATAAGGTAGGCAATCATAGTAATAAATGCATCAATGGTTTCAATCAACTCCTACAACTTAATGCAACAATATATAACTCATATATATAGAAAGAATTGTCTCGTTCGAACGAACTAGGATGATGATCCACGCACTCGGGCAAAGCCTCTCCTTGCTCCTCTTCCTCTGGCACCTCCTGTGCCTGGACTTCTTGTGGATCTGTCCCGGTCTGCTCGTCCTGAACTGCTACTAGCAACTCCTCGTGCGATCCTGTATGATGCAGATGTATAAGTGCTAATACATAGGTGCATCGGAGAGATGACATGTAATGATCATGATGCATGAAATGTAGATGAACATGTTTAACTTTATTGGACATAGTAGTAGCAAAGCTCTTCTACAAGGTAGTCAACATCATCCAAGAATATGTACTACTATCTACTACGACAACCACTGTACGAACATGTCAAGTCACAACAGCAAGCTAAGATGCTTCAAATATACACCAAGGCAAACATTATTAACTAACCATGCATTAAAGAAGATTATTTGATTTCCTTTTAAACTAGAGCTACAACAGCAACATATATTTCTGGTACTCATAAAAATTTGAGAAAATTTTAGTAGTAGAGTACTACTCTAAGTAGACTACCATAAAATTTTCATGGCATTTGGATAAGTAAAATAGCCTACACAAAAATGACAAGCTATGGTTGATAATTAAGCATAAAAATACTTTGTACTATGAAAAGTGTCAAACAACAGATTTGATATTTTTCCTATGTTCTACATAGTAAACAATTACTGCACAAAAATTATCATACACATGTTTTATACAATTTTTGCTCTCTATCAAAATAACAAAAATCATCAATTTAAAGGCACTTGAACTACACATCAATATTTCTCTACAGAACATGCATGACATAT